GGGATGTTCGTGTCAGAACCAACGCCCCCTCTAAGCTGTGGAGTCCTGTGAGCAAAAATTCCACTTTGTGAGCGACTGCCATTAAAGCTGTGAGCGAGCGATTTGACTACGGCATAAAATTAAGTTTGCTCTGGAGCCCTCCTTCCTGAGCTGAGACAAAAGTGTGTGAGCCGGAGGCTAAAGGACTGTGCGCTAGCTCACACTAGCGGGAACACTGGTCAGAACCTGGGCTGAAAACCTTCCCAGGGGGACGCCAGCAGCAGCCAAGGGACCACGGGGGAAGGTGGGGGGGGGGGAGAAGGGGGGGGGGGAGAGCTGAGTCACCAAGCCCCGAGCTGCACAGCTGACCCTGCCAAAAACTCAACGTGGAACAAGAAGAGACTGGATTTATACCCCGCCCTTCACTACCCAGAGCGGCTGACAAACTCCTTTCCCCTCCCCTCTCCTCCCCGTGACAGACACCCTGTAAGGTGGGTGGGGCTGAAAGAGCTCCTGACAGAAACGGCTCTTTTTCAAAAACAGCTCTTATCAGAACTACGGCTTGCCCAAGGTCATCCAGCAGGTGCAAGTGGAGGAGTGGGGAATCAAACCCGGTTCTCCCGGATTAGAGTCCGCGTAACCCAGCACGACTGTGAAAGCTGCAACAGGGGTCTCTAGCTCAGAAGCCTCTTCTCTTTGCTATCCTCCCTCCCCATAAACTGGGGGCTTCAGGCTGTATTCAAGCAAGCCCCACCCACCCCACACCTCCTGGCTTGAAGTTTTCCAGCTCGCCCATTAACCCACTGGCTTCCCTTGCACAGTCTGTCAGGTAGCCGCAGGAACCCCCTAGGGGGATCCTGCTCAAGGCTTCCGTGCCCACCTGGTGGCCTTTCCCCTGCCTTTTGGTGGAGTGGTTAGGAGCACGGACTCTAATCTGGGAGAACCGGGTTAGATTCCCCCACTCCTCCACATGCAACTGCGGCTGGAGTGACTGCGGGTCAGTCACAAGTTCTCTCAGAGCTGTTCTCTCAAGGGCAGTCCTCAAAAGAGCTCTCTCAGCCTCACCTCCCTCACAGGGTGTCTCTTGTGGGGAGGGGAAAGGAAAGGAGACTGTAAGCCACTCTGAGACTCCTTTGGGTAGTGAAGGGCGGGGGTAGAAACCCAATCTCTCTCTCTCTCCCTCCCCACTCCCCCCCCCCAACAAATTCAAGAAAACCTCCTGAATGCACCAACCAGGAGGCTCCACAAACAGGCACCAGGGCCTTTACACGCACACCACCAAAGAGTGAACCTCAGGCCAAATGTGTGCAGCTTCAACCCCAGAACTTGAACCCAATCCGAGTATCAAAGAAGAAGAAGAGATTGGATTTATACCCCGCCCTTCTCTACCCGAAGAAGTCTCAGAGCAGCTTACAAACTCCTTTCCCTCCCCCTCCCCACAACAGACACCCTGTGAGGTAGGTGGGGCTGAGATAGCTCTTTCGAGAACTGCCCTTGAGAACAGCTCTGAGAGAACTTGTGACTGATCCAAGGTCACCCAGCTGGCTGCATGTGGAGGAGTGGGGCATCAAACCTGGTTCTCCCAAATTAGAGTCTGCACTCCAAGAACTGTGGCTGATCCAAGGTCACCCAGCAACTGAGAGTGGAGGAGTGGGGAATCAAACCCGGTCCTCCCAGATTAGAGTCCGTGCACTTAAACACCACACCAAACTGGCTCTCAGATCCCAGAGTCAAAACCAGTCATCTGCCTTGGCCTTTGGCAGCTGTGAAAGCCTCCCAGTACTTCTGGCCCCGGTCATGGACTGGTTTGTGTCGGCCCTCCCTGCTGCCCTTATTCCAAGGAATTCTGGCCGGGGGGGGGGGGGGCAGGGGGATCCCATTTTATACTGCCATCTGGTGACGCAGGCTAGGTTGGGAGATGGTGACTGGGCTAAGGCCACTGAGAGAGCTCAGAGATTATGGCAAAATAGTAAAAGGCCCAGTAGCACCTTTAAGACCAACAAACTTTAGCTTTCGAGAAACCAGGGATCATTTCCTGCAGGAGCGCACAGGAGCGGAGCTCCGGCAGTAAAGACCCCAGGGGGCGGGCCAACAGCCCTCAGTCAGAACAAGAAGCAGCCAGGTAAGTTGCAGAGCCCCCCCCCCCGCCCCCAAAACAGTCCAGTGGCACCTTTAAGACCAAGTTTTGTTCAGGTACAAGCTCTCCCTCCTTACCAGTGGCACCTTTAAGACCAAGGTTTATTCAGGCACAAGCTCTCCCTCCTCTGCGAGGACAGATCTGCGCGGCCCCCCCCCCCTCGATAGCTAGCAATCCAAAACAGTCCAGTGGAGCCTGAGCGGTGGGTGTTGCCTTCTGACACACTTCCGGTGATGTCAGGGGGTGTGGCATATGCAAATGTTATGCTAATGAGTTATGCTAATGAGCTCCTGCACCTCTTTTTCTACGCAATGACCCCTGCGAGAAACACAGCTCTCTTCATCAGATCCAGCTGTGTTTCTCGAAAGCTTATGTTTGTTCGTCTTAAAGGTGCTACTGGGCTTTCTACTATTTGGGCCAGAGATTATGGCGCGATCGTAACCCACCACCACACATGTTCACGCAACGGACAACGGCCAGAACACAAAGCGGCCTCCCCCTTTCAACAAGGGACCATCCTCAGACACCGAGGGTGGAGGCACTGCAGGGGGGGGGGGACCACACCATTCCTTTTCAAGCCCTTTGAACCTGATCTTCTCAGAAGTATTTTAAGTCCTCCTTGCCAGGGCTGCTTTGGGAGCGAGGCGATAAATCAAGAAACAGGAGAGAAGGGCTGCAAGTGAAAAAATAGCCCCAATTTCAAGGAATTATGTTCTGCTTTGCTTTGTTTCCAGCAGAGCAGGCTGTTCAAACTGGTAAATTAAGGAAGCGGTGCTGACTTGGGGCAACACAAGTGCTGGTTCTTACCTATAAAGCCCTATATGGCCAGGGGCCAGCCTACCTGAGGGACCACCTTGCCCCACATGTTCCCCCAAGAGCACTATGGTCGGGGCCCCAAAATTTATTGGTCATCCCGGGCCCTAAGGATGCCAAACTAACTGTGACCAGGGCCAGGGCTTTTTCGGTGGCAGCTCCGAGGCCTGAGGAAGAACTTAGAAAATACAGAAGATCTGACAAGCCGTCGCCACTGGATATGTACGCTACGGGAGTACCATCTGGAACTGTGGTGATACCATCTTGGATCTAGGATACTAGTAATTGGATAGAGTACTGTGCTTTTAGTATTGATGTTTTTTATTATGTTTTTATATGTTCTTATTTATGACAAGGCTAACGACCTGCCTCTGTTAGCCGCCCTGAGCCCACTGTGGAGGGCGGGATACAAATGTAATAAACAAACAAAAAACACATCTAAAGCCCAAGAATTATGGAGGAGCAGGGCTCTTTTTGTAGAAAAAGCCCAGCAGGAACTCATTAGCATAATAGGCCACACCCAACAGCAGAAACTCATTAGCATATTAGGCCACACCCTGACAGCACCGCTCATTAGCACATTAGGCCACACCCCCATGTTACCAGAAGTGTGCTCATCCAGCCACACCCCTTTTGCTTTTTATTCTGTTTAACTTGTTTGTTGTCAAAACCCAGGGCTTTTTTTGTAGCAGGAACTCCTTTGCATGTTAGGCCACACACCCCTAATGTAGCCAATCCTAATGAGTTTCTGCTGTTGGGTGTGGCCTGTTATGCTAATGAGTTCCTGCTGGGCGTGGCCAACTTGGGAGCCAGCCGGAACTCCGTTCCTGTGCGTTCCTGCCCAAAAATAGCCCTGTGGAGGAGGACGACTCCAATACACTGGGAGGACCTTAAGAACCTCAGAAGAACCCTGTTGGATCCTATCAGTGGTCCATCAAGTCCAGCATTCTGTCTCACACAGCTGACAACCAGTTCCTCTGGGGAGCCAACAGGGCATAGAGGCCGAGGCCTTCCCCTCATGTTGCCTCCTGGCTCTGGGGATTCAGAGGCCAACTGCCTCTGAATGTGGAGGTTCCCTTTAGTTACCACAGCCACTGATTAACCTCCCCCCCATGAATCCGTCTCATGCCCTTTTAGAGCTGTCTCTGCCTGTGGCCATCACTATAACCTCTGGCAGCAAATTCCACATTTTAATCACCTGAGGTCAATGCTCCCTCTAAGCTGTGGAGTCCTGTGAGCAAAAATTATACTTTGTGAGCCACTAGCATTAAAGTTGTGAGCGAGCGATTGGGCTACTGCATAAATCAGTTTGCCCTGGAGCCCTCCTTCCTGAGCTGAGACAAAAATGTGTGAGCCGGAGGCTAAAAAACTGTGAGCTAGCTCACACTAACTCAGCTTAGAGGAAACACTGCTTGCGGTACACAGAAGTCTTTCCTTTTGTCCATGTTGAACCTACCACCCACCAGCTTCACCCTATGCCCTCGACTTCTACCATTCTGGGAGAGGGAGAGGAGTTTTCCAAATGGCAGCCCACACCAACAACTCCCATCCCAGTTGGTCAGCACTCCGACATGCGGCAACGTGAAAGTGTTGATCTGATCGGAACACCAAAGCAACCTCTAGTCCTGCTCACTGCTGCCCACAGGGGTGCAGAAACAGGGCATGAAGGGCACCACACCCCATTGCTGACCCCCACGCAGGGCCCTACAACTGGTGTTTGGGGACAGTTCCTGAGAATGGAAACTCCACTGCATTGCCAAAGTCAATATGCATAGCCTGCACCTTATTTATGGCCATTAGTTCAGATATCTTTAAGGGGGGTGCTAAGAGAACTGCTCGTCTCCTTGAAAAGGAGCCCCCCCTGGATCAGGCTAAGGAAATCCATCTTAGTTGACCAGATGCCTCCAGAAAGCCCATGAGCAGTCCATAAAGGAAATTTACCTAACATTTGGCACTCAGACAGACTGCCTCAGAACATGGAGGTTCCACTGAGCTGCTGGGACTCTTACAGTTCATTTTGCACGCACCACCAGGCAACTTAAAAACCCAGATCTCCCCAATGGGCTCTTACCTGTCAGAGACACTCATGAGTTCTGAAGGAAGGTGTGCGTCCTCTGGGTCGGCAAGAAACCTGCAAAGAGAACAGAAGATATTCTGGGTCATTTATGGGATTTTTTAAAAAAGAAAAAAAAATAGTGATGATCACAGCGATTTGGGTGGGGTACAAATAAGGAAGACACATTAAAACGGATTATTTACACCAGGGGTCATTTCCTGCAGGAGCGCACAGGAGCGGAGCTCCGGCAGTAAAGAGCCCAGGGGTCGGGCACATGCAACAAGCCCCACCCCCTGCTCCCAGCAGCCCTCAGTCAGAGCAAGAAGCAGCCAGGTAAGTTGCAGAGTTCCCCCGCCCGCCCGGTCCAAAACAGTCCAGTGGCACTTTTAAGACCAGGTTTTATTCAGGTACAAGCTCTCCCTCCTCTGCAAGAACAGATCTGCACCCCCCCCCAAATAGCAATCCAAAACAGTCCAGTGGAGCCTGAGCGGTGCGTGTTGCCTTCTGACACACTTCCGGTGATGTCAGGGGTTGTGGCATATGCAAATAAGTTATGCTAATAAGTTATGCTAATGAGCTCCTGCACCCCTTTTTCTACAAAATGACCCCTGAATTTTACACAATAATCAGTGAGACAAGTCGACCGCAAATAAGAAACAGTAATGCTGTTTGTTCCATAGAGCATTAAAACTTTCTTGCCATACTAATTCAATTCTTAGTCGTGTCTTCGTCTTTTTGAAGTGCCAAAAAAACTTTCCGCGTACACAGAGGTGTCTAAACTTATCTCTAACTTCCGGGGACTTTCGAGCCTTCTCGAGTCCATACTCCAGCAGGGCAGCTGGAAGAGCCAACGCAAAACCAGAACCGAATTCCTGCAACTTGGCTTGACGTGTGCAATAAACATATTGCAAAACTATCTGTGACCAGATCACCTGGAGTTCTGCTACTGCCAAGTTTTCTTTTAAAGTCAATCACAAAACTTTGCAAGAGTTGTATGGAAAGCTCAACCGCAAGAAACAGAGGCCAGGACCCTAAGATCTGGTCAACCCCCTTTTATAAGCAAGCAGGAGTTTCAAAAGTAGATTGTGTTATCGTATTCGCATATTTGAAGAAGCTTCATTAAGGGCTCAGACACTTACGGAGGACAAAGACTGCAGGTTGGTCCAGGGCTACTGCATACAGCACAGGAACGGAGTTCCGGCTGGCTTCCAAGTTGGCCACGCCCAGCAGGCAGGAATGCATTGGCATAATAGGCCACACCCAACAGCAGAAACTCATTAGGATTGGCTACATTAGGGGTGTGTGGCCTAACATGCAAAGGAGTTCCTGCTACAAAAAAGCCCTGGGTTTGGACAACAAACAAGGTAAACAGAATAAGAAGCAAAAGGTGGGTGTGGCTGGATGAGCACACTTCTGGTAACATGGGGGAGTGGCCTAATATGCCAACGAGCTGTGCTATCAGGGGTGTGGCCTAATATGCTAATAGGTTTCTGCTACTGGGTGTGGCCTATTATGCTAATGAGTTCCTGCTGGGCTTTTTCTACAAAAAAAGCCCTGGGTTGGTCCATTAGAGCCAGCACACCTGGCTAACCATCTTGGCCTGTTTGAGAAAACTCCACATTTACAGATACTCCACTGGGAGGAAAATAATCCACTGCTGACTCTTGGTTTATGTGGGAAAGAAGAGGCAACAGGCCCTCCGTACACTGTGACAGCAGGGGTGTCGAAGTCATTCGTTATGAGGGCCGGATCTGACAGAAATGAGACCAGTTCCACTGCAGACCTGATGGAAGCCCTCCGGGGGCAAGATTCGGCCCCCGGGCTGCATATTTGACACCCCCGGGTTACAGTGTCAGATCAGGCTCTGGGAGACCCAGGTTCAAACGCCCACTCAACCCGAGATGTTTCCTGGTTGACCCTAAGCCAGCCGCTCAGCCTAACCTACCTTACAGGGTTGTTGTGAGAGAAGATGGAGGAGAGAAGAATGGTGTGAGCGGCTTGGGATCCCACCACTGCAAGGAAAGGCGGAGTATAAATAAATAAATAAAACAGGTAACACATCCCAGTGTTGCTTCAGCCGACTGTCCAGATCAAATAACTTTCCTGCCCGCCTCCCCATCCTGCTGCAGCCCCAAATACCTCCCTGCTCATGGGTGTGTGTGTGTGTGTGTGTGTGTTCATTCCGGGCTGCAGCAGGGAGGAAAACAAAGCCAAGGGGTTGCATTCTACAGGCAGGAATTTCCCCCATCTCAGTGAATCCATCCAAGGCCTCCAGCTTTGGTAACACGACGACTCCCAAAGTTTCCTTCCGCTCTCTCCACTGGGACCTGCCTGTCGGGGTAAGTGCTGGGTGAAGGCCCCCGGGCCGCATATTTGACACCCCGGGTTACAGTGTGAGATCAGGCTCCAGCGGGTTGTCATGCCACCGAGCCCACCTTGCAAAGCGGGCACTTTCTCCAGGGGAACTGATCACTGTCTAGAGATCAATTATAATTCTGGGAGATACCCAGCCACTAGCTGGAGATTCAACGAACAAACGGACACTGTGATATAGATGACAACACACATTAAGTAAGCATCATATTATATTGTAAAACTTGGCAATATAACAGGTCCATCATTCTCCCACCTTGCAAAGCGGACACTTTCTCCAGGGGAACTGATCACTGTCAAGAGATCAATTATAATTCTGGGAGATACCCAGCCACTAGCTGGAGAGTCAACAAAAAAACAGACACTGTGATACAGATGACAACACACATTAAGTAAGAATCATATTATATTGTAAAACTTGGCAATATAACAGGTCCATCATTCTCAATGAGCATCCGGATATAGACTCATTTCGTCCCAATCTTCCTCAGGAGCAGTGTTCCCTCGAAGCTAAGTGAGTGTCAGCCAGCTCACAGTTCTTTAGCCTCCGGCACACACATTTTTGCCTTTGCTCAGGAAGGAGGGCTCCAGAGCAAACTAACTGATGCAGGAGCCCAATCGCTCGCTCACAACATTAATGTCAGTAGCTCACAAAGTAGATTTTTTGCTCACAAGACTCCACAGCTTAGAGGGAACATCGCTCAGGAGTAATCCTAGAGTAATGAAGGTGTTAGCCTCTTGCTACAGAGTTCAGTGTTCTGTTTAAGAGCAACCCAATGTTTAATTTCTTCTTTATGTTTTTCATATAATCCTGAAAAATAACCCACGGTATTTTAAATGAATAAGCAACATGAAGCTGAGTGGAATATTATACTAACTTTTCATATAAACTGCAGCAAAAGGCTGACACCTTCATTACTATAGGACTACTCCTGAGGAAGACTGGGACGAAATGAGTCTATATCCGGATGCTCATTGAGAATGATGGACCTGCTATATTGCCAAGTTTTACAATACATATGATTCTTACTTAATGTGTGCTGTCATCCATATCACAGTGTTTGTTTGTTGCATTTCCTATACCTGTGATCCCGTCTTGGTTTTTTCTACTAGCTGGAGATGGGCAACCCTGATGCTGGGGAAGGATCCAATCAACTGCTGGCTTTTATATTCTCGAGGGGGGGGCACTGTTTGGCTTCCAGTAAACAAACTGCAAAGTGTACCCGAGCCTTGCGCCCAGTACCATCCAAAATCCAATCCGGTCCACGGTTGGTCTCCTTTTCAAACACTGCAGACTCGGGGCTTTTCTCCAACACGGCCCAAAACGTTACCTTCTACCTGCTCCCCCCCCTTTGTCTTTTAGCATTGACCACCCAGCCTCTCAAGGAGTTCTGGGGGGCTTGAAAGCATGCGTTCACTGTTGGGTTGCCAGGGGTCACCGGCGGGGGGCGAGGGCGCAGTGTTGCCAGCTCCGGGTTGGGAAATTCCTGGAGACGCTGGGGAGGACAGGGACCTCAGTGTGGTACAATGCAGTACAGTCCACCCTCCAAAGCATCCATTCGGTCCGGGGGAACTGATCTCCGCAGTCTGGAGATGAGCTGTAATCCCAGAAGATTCCCCAGGCCCCACCTGGAGGCTGGCATCCCTGGTTCACTGACCTGTGACAGCTCGGTTGGTCTTAAATTAAAAAAAAAAAACAAAAAAAGGGATAAAAACCGCACCGTTCTTCTGCTCGTGGCCTGCCTTGCAAGACTGCTGTACAGATCGCCCAAAATAAAGCCTTTCAGCATTTAAATAGCACTGTTCCGCTCAGCGTTCGAAACTTAGCACACGGGATGACCCAGCCACCCACACCCTCGCACAGTGGCCTGCTCCCTTGGGAGCCCGGCGGAATCACTGCCTGCCACCCACCCATAAGCCTGGTGCCCTGTTCCTTCACCAGGGAAGGAGGCACAGCGGGCCATTCACAAATGATGCGGTGAGGAGGCGGACAGTGCTTAGCGAGCGGCATGGATCCTGAACTGCACAGGGTCTCAGCAGGGACACAAATCTCAAGAGGCGGAGCCCCCCCCCCATTTTGCAACCAGAAGGCCCCAGGTCCAACCCCCCCTTTTGTCAGCTCACGGAGAGCTGCTGTCAGCCAAAGCAGGCTACAGGGGCTGAGAATAAAGCGGCTTCGGAAATATTTAAGCAGAAGCAGCCGGAAGCTGCGGGGCTTTGGGGTCCCTTCCCCTTTTATTCCTGCTTGGAAGATATTTACCTTTAGAGTAGAAGAGTAAGAACCATCTCTCCCCCCCCCCCCCCCTCCAACAGCCTGTTTTTTAATGGGGCACCAATCCAGCCACACTGCGCTACTGGAGTTAAGCCACCCCCCAGGAACAGTATCTCATACAGAGCTGCACCGGGGATCTTCCTCCAACTGCAGGCACTCCTGCTCCACCTTTGCACTGGGAGCGATTGAATATTCAAACCCAGCACAGGGGTGGGACCCCCTGCACATGCTGGAATTGAAAGAGTTAAAACCAGAGCGATTCATCATACAGAGACGTGGCGGGCAGCACCCGCTTTGCACACAGAAGGCCCCAGGCTCAGTCTCCAATTGAAGAATCTCAGGTAGCAGGTATGTATGTAAGGGGCAGAACTTTCTCTGCTTGAGACCTGGGGAGCTACTGCCAATCGGAATCGACAATACTAGGTTGGGAGGACCAATGGTCCGTCTCCGTACAAGCCAGCTATAAGACACATCCTGCCAACTGTGACAGGCGGTTTTTGCTAGGCTCTCCTCTCCAAAAAAGGCACAGTCAGGTGGGCACACCCCCTAAATTTGAACACGGCCCCGGTAACTTAATGTCCAGAGAGCTTCCAGTCTGAAGACAGAATGCTTCTAGTCAAGCTGGTAAAGGAAGGGATTTAAAAAGGGGGGGGGGGAGAGAAGAGAAGGGAATTTTCCAAGAGAGGCAGAAGACAGGATTTTCCCAAGTGGCCAGGTGACAAGACTTAAAAGTGAGTTGCGTCACTCCCCACCCCCCAGGAAACGGTGGACTTGTGCCCATCTGCAAAAAGCCCACACAGGTCACGGATCTACTGCCTTCACGCCAAAACGCATGCCCCACTGGTCACTTCACTTAATCTGAATTCACCATTGTCTCTGACGACGGGGACTTGGGATTTCCACACACACACCCCTCCCCTGCAGTTTTAAAATAAGTTGCGTTGTTATGGCCTCCGCCCCTCCCCAAGCAGAGAGGCTCTTTGGGAGAATCTCGCGGGCTCTGTGGAAAGGAACGCCCCTGGCCACCAGACCACCCGCCCCCGCCCGGTGGGGCTCTCTTCAAATGCTAGCCCGGCTCCCTTCTCCCTGACCCACGCCTGGCTTACAATGGAAGGGCAATCCGCCAGAGAGAGGGAACCCCCCCCCCACGCTTCCGAGCCTCCACTCCTCTTCCCAGCAGAGTGGCGGTCCGGGCTGCTTCCCTCTCTAACTCGGTGTCAACTTCGAACGCTAGCCAAGAACTATGCTCTGAATTGCCAAGGAGGGAGGGAGGGAGGGAAGAACGCTCTCTCCTCCTTGGAAAGAACAGAGTACTGATCCCTGCCCCCCATAGCTCCAACACCCCAAAAAGAAAACAATCGGGGTTACCTATGTATTCAAAAATGTCACATCGGAGACCGAAAGCTCCTTCTAGGGGGCGTTCCCCAAAGTCAGGGAGGGAGATTCTTGGGAAAAAAAGCTTCCTCCTCCGCACGAACCAATAAAAGAGGCTGGCTGGTGCCCCTCTAAGCTGGCTTATGCTTCCGGAGCACTTTGCAGGGATGACCTTAGGACTCCAGAGACAGAAGGGATCGTATTCAAAGAGGCAGGAACCAAGAGAGCCGGCTGGGAAGATAACCAGCCCCGCCCCTCCCCTGCCTCGAGCGAGCGGCAGCCCCGGCAGAAGAGGTACAAAGGGAGATCTGGCAGGGCACAGAGACCGACGGAGCGGCGGAGCTGAGAACTTGAGAACTCTTCGGTGGAGCCAATTCCCAGGGAGACGGCCAGGCTGAGTCCAGAGGGTGGCAAAGTCAGGGGCCGCCCCGAGATCCCAAGGGAAGGGGCCACCTCCAGGGATCCCAGCCTCAAGGTGGGACCTGGGGACCCCCCAGGATTAAAGCTAACCTCCAGACTCCCCCGGAGAAAACGGATGCTTTGGAGGGCAGACTCTCCGGCACAGGACCTCACGGGGGTCCCTGTTCTCCCCGGGCTCCACCCCCCCCCCCAAATCTCCAGGAGTTTCCAAACCTGGATCTGACAACCCTACCCGCCCTATTCTGGAGGGGGGGACACCTGACAAACTTACCCACGGTTCTACCCTCTGGGCCTTTCTCACATGCCTGTCAAATTCCAAGGTGGTCAAAGGGAGCCAGGAATTCCGTGTCCCCTGCACACCCAAGGAAAGACAGGCAACAGTGAGCTCTGGTCTGGGTACTAGGGAGTGCTGTCAGCCTACACCGTTGGGTTGGGAGGGGAGGAAGAGAAAGAAAACCAGACGCGGGTCTCTACTGTGAACCCCTCCGGCTTCACGGGGAAGAGCTGCGATACCTGTTGATGGAAAGCTGTGAACGCAGAGGTGGGTTTCCCTTTAAAGGGCTAGGCCCAGA